TTCATATTATTATTCTTCTCCTTCTCTTCTATTTTGATCTGACATCATCCGTTTGATCGGGATTCCGCACCATCAAACAGATCTGATTGATATACAAGCAGATTTGGGACTTACAGTCACACCCCCGGCCGAGGCGGCAGAACACGCCAGGTTGTGCGACGAAGTTCATGGATCACAGGTAAACTTAATATATAGCAGAAGTACAAAAATTAACAATATAACATTCATGTTCCATCTTGATGTTTGAATACAAGGTTTTTTACAAATAATAATAATACATGAATTGCCTTAACAGATAGACATATAATACAACAACAAGTAAACTAGGTCACCTGTAATCCAATCCATCTTGAATGTCTGTTTAGTGATTTCCTGAGAATACATGTACTTTTTAAGGGTCAACACAACTGATCAAACGAAGCAGGTGATAAGTGGCTGCGATCGTTACTACGACGTATAATGAAGCGACATAGGGGGTGTACATACAGTCACATATCTTGGTTGTTTTCAAAACTATTTTTAAGTATGGATTTACTTATGATACATTTTGAAATTCAAATCTTATTTACAAACACTGGTTTGAGTATGGTTATACTTACAAATAAAATACTTTTTTGACTTTTTAAAAGTATTATACTGCTACTAGCAGAAAACCTATGACTTTCACCAACCTTGTGTTGACTTTCAAACTACATGTATTCTCAGGAAATCAATGATTTTCAAGCATTCAGACATTGGGAAAAATCATGGATCGCAGGCAATTTTTATTTCCAGTTTTTGTTATGTTAAGCCTATCTGTTATGGCAATTCATATATTACTACTATCTGTGAGAACCTTGTATTCAAACTTAAATATTAAATACAAATGTTGTTTTGTTTATTGTTGTACTTGTGCTATATATTCAATTTTTCTGTGATCCATCAACTTAGTCGCACATTCTGGCATGTTCCGCCGCCTCGGTCGGGGGTGTGACACATTCTCACCAAGAGAACAAGCACTAAGCTCTAGGGTTCAACGATCAACCAATGATCATAACCCTAGTATATATATAAAAAAATTATGCAATGTGAATCCCTACAAACCAGGGATATCACCTAATCTATGATAATAATAATGTGTATCTGATATCACTAAGATATCAGATCTGCTAACTACTATGTATAGTCTATAATTACAAGAAGTTACATATGGTATACATATCATGCTAACACGACCTTGCAGACTTAACTTTACGCTGGCGCTTGTGATATGCTGGCACTAGTTAACTTAGCATGACTGTTTTACATCATCATATTCTAAGGCTTGGCATTACCTACATAAACATAGCAAAATAAACATTATTACACATAAATCTTTAATTAAGCATAAAACATAAAAGATTAAACTTCTATAAAAACTCATTTCAATGAATTAAACCAAAATCAAAATAGATCATCTACATCTAAAAAACGTATTGGAAATTAGCCCATAATTAAATCTAACAAACTAATAAAAACTAGAAAATCAAACATATTGCAAACCAACACTATTCTAAAAGTTGAATGTTTCTTCCATGAGCTTATCCTTCTTCTTTATGGACATCCAAAATATGCATTGTTAGATTTAATTTAATCTTTTAGTCTTTTTATTTGCAAAATACAAATTTACAAAAACTAAGTATCCTTTTTTTCCTTAAAATCATGCAAATGAGTATAAAATATATCCTTTAAAATATGTAAAATTTAGGACATATCACATATCCAAAAAAAAACAGACATTACATAAATCATCAAGTCATTATCTATTAATCTTTAACAATTAAGTCCTTAGTAATTAAGCCCTTAAAAACTAATCCATGTTCCAAGCAAACTAATTAATCCCTAAGGTTGTGACTTTTTCATGTACAAACATACTCGTTTGCATTTACATATATACATATATTCTTATTTGTACATACATACATTTTCATAACTATTTCACATACATTATACATACATGTACACACATACATTCTTGGCTGCATACAAATACATGTACATACATTATAGATACATTAATTTATGTCTGCATATATACAAATACACATATACACATATCCACTGTATATACACTATACATACTAATTCATAGTAAAAAGAAACTGCGGTTGTGGCAGAAGTATAGTAATGTTGTGGTGACGGTACTCCAACAATGGTGGTGTACACACATGTGATTTGTTACCGGTGGAGAAGGCAGTGGCAGTGATGGTGCCTTGAAACAAACAAGGGATTCATGCATTTAAACTCAATCTTTCTCATGAGAGAAAGAGAAAGAGAAAGGAGTGATGAGAAGCACAAACTGTCGTCGGTGATAGGGTGGTTGCTCAGTATATAAGTTGGGGGAGAATCGATAAAATTCGCTCGAAATTGCCAGAAAGTAAAGAAGGAGGCGAGCCGGTCGGTAATCAAGGAAATAAAGGGAAAACGTGATATAAAGGCAAAGGTTTTAGCGGCAACGGCTAGAATTAGTAGTGACAAATTGGTGAAAACAGAAGGAATACTTCGCGGTCAATTTTTTTGGGGTATTAGCAACGACAATTGTCGCCGCTATTGATGTCACCACAAATACGTTGTACAAGCGAGATTTCAGCTATTAGATTTAAAAGTTAATCAACGGATAAGGTACTCACCGGTTAAAAGGAATTAGTGGCGACACTTTTAGTATTGACATGAGCTATAGTGGTGACACTCAAACGCGTTGATCAAATGTCGCCACTATTGCCTCCGTCACCGTTAATGTTGATATTTCTTGTAATTAGGTAGGAGTAAGGTTATATGAATATAATAGAGTAATAAAATGAGCCGATGAAAATAAAGTTTATAGTGATGTAGGTAACTTACAACAAAATCAGTGAAATAAAAAGTACATGATTATTATTAAAAAACACTACAAGAATAAATATCTATAGTGACAAAGCCTAAAGGGACGATGAAGGTCCTCGCTATAGGAGGAGCTATGGGGACGACTTGTCGTTCCAATAGGGTTGACTAATTTATTTTTGAATTTGAGATATGTAGACGACTTGGCGGGTCTCAACTGGTTAGGCGGGAGATGTCCCGGGTTATTGAAAATTTATAGGGACGACAATTCGTGTCAAATAAAACAAAATAATTTAATATTTTTCTTTAAAGCCACAACTGTCTACAAATCAGGAAGCTAGGTCTCATCCATCCTTCACAATCGCATACCATTCACCCTTTTCTCTCTATCGAACAACCGAGGCCGACCACCACCACAACGATGTTCGTCGGTTCCTTTAACGCCACCGGCCTCCACAACGACCACCGCCTACCACCTGCGATGTGATGTCTTCGGGAGGATAATTCGAGTTCCATGTGTTGATTTCGACTCCCTGCTTTCGGCTTGGTGTTGATTCCGGCAACGTGCAAAGATTTCGGCACCTGGTTCCGTCAACTGCTTCAATTCCCCTGATTCCAACTTCCTCTCTCTGTCCAGCGGCTCCCATTTTCTCTAGGTATGTCTCACTAATTTTCTTATTAGGTTAATGATTTTGTGATGTGTTAGTAATTTAGTGTTACTGATTTTGCTAGTAATGAAGCTGCCCGTGTTCGAGATCTTTTCCATAATGCAAGAAAACGTTCACCGTCTATTATTTTCATTCATGAGATAGATGTTGTTGGAGGGCAGTGGCGCAACCCTTAAGGGGCCAGGGGAGGCCCCGACCCCCCGTTTTTTGGCCGACTAGGTACTCCTGGCTTTAACTCTGTGATGACAACGCAAGATTTACCAACTCTTATATTTCAAGGTTTGTAATATCGCACGTAATATTAAGATATGTAATATGATTTAGGTTTTATTATATGTTGATTTCTGCCATTGAAAAATCATAGGTCAGTATTCATTACAAGATTTCAATTATTTAGTTCTTGATTTGGTAAAAGGAAATTAAAAGAGCAAGCCCTAGTTTGGTTCGATTTCTTGGAGATGTTTGTTACAGGGATTTGGAGTTGTTTATTATATGGAATTGAACCTTGTTATTTACTGCTGAAGATTCGTTTGAGAACCGGTAGAAACACAATCTAACAAAACAGTAGTGGTCCAACTGTTTTTTTTCTTTTCATTTTGCTTTAAAACCCAGTTCAATGGGGGTTAACCACTGCAGGTCTTGGTCTAAGGAGTTAAAACTTAATCGAGTTATATGACTTTAACTTTTTAAACACACCTGTCACTTTGGCTTCCATTAAACTTCTTTGTTCTTTACATGCTAAGTAAGCATACTCCCAACACAATTTTAAACCTTTAATTCAAGATTACATAATGGGTAGTAGTTTAAATATTTACCAGACCCATGAATGATGAATCCTTATGGGTCTCTTTGTTTTTTTATCAATTGTCACCTTATACCTTATCTTGATTTACTTATCATATATATAATATAAGTTCTGTTTCAACCATATTTAACCTGTCATTACATAAAACATTTGAATGATTTGTTTCTTCGAACTTGTAGTTGATCAGTCTAGAAAACACAAGGGTTGTAGTTTTAAGCTTGATCCAACATGATTCCAAAGAAACTGCAAAAAGTCTAAAATAATTGTCAAAGATTACAAGATCTTCTTAGGTCTCGTAGTTTACTCTTACTTTACAATAGCTTTAGCCTGATCTTTTTTAGCTAATTGCAACCTTTTGGTGTACTCATCAACAAACTAGTTATGCTTTACGATAGATATGAAAAAAGATGGTTATTTGTGCCAAGAAAGAATAAAGGTGACTCAAAAACCTTTAGGACAATGCATGGTATTTTTGTTAAAATAAAAGAGATTTTGGTTTCGGCCCCCCTGTGTTTCGATGCCCATGTTCCGCCCCTGTTGGAGGGCAACGTGGAACATCTTTTAATAGTGAACGCGACCAAACTTTAAACCAGGTAAATATTATTTTAATTTAATGCTTATGATCAAAGTCAAACAATGAAACAGTTGACATAAAATCTGGTCTTTTGATGTGTTAGCTTTTGACAGAGATGGATGGGTTTGAGAAGGGTGCTACTAACATACCCGAGTTACTGGATTCTGCTTTGATGATACCGGGTCGGTTTTCTAGGAAAGTGGTTGTGGGTAAACCGGATAAAGATGTAAGGAGAAAGACTTTTGCTTTATATTTACAAAAGGTGCCAATGGAGGAGGACAAACAAGTCATTTGTGACCTTGTTGCTTCAGGTACACCAGGGTTAGTTGGGACTGATCTTGAAAATATAGCTAATGAGGCTGTAATGCTTGCTACTCGTAGAGGTTTGTGCTAATTGCTAAACATAACATTCACTTAAGTGTTTAGATATAGCAATGTCTTGATTATGTTTGCGTATGTTGTTAGGTGGTGATTTTGTGACTAAGAAGGATGTTCTTGAAGCTGTTGAGAGGGCTACAACGAAGATTTGTAACAATGATACTAACGGTGAAGCTAAATCACCGCATTTGTTTGGACAAATGGAATTAGAAAGCATGCACGCCTGGAGATGCTGATTTCCAGCTAATCATCTACAAGATTTGTTCAAGATGGAGAATTCGATTTTGGTGTTATTTGATTTCATATATATTTAGCTTGTTAGTACATAGATCTTTTAGTATAATTAATTCTATTTTCACAGAGGCTAAATTTGGTTTTTCACATTTTTTGAACCAAGCCAAAGCAAAGGCATGCCAAAGGTGCAACAAAAGTATGTTGCCCTAATTGTAAAAGTCTAAAAAAGTCCAAGTTTCACATTATAATAAACTACCCCTGTATTGATAATCTTTTGTTCCATCTTTTTATATGTGATTCATTCATGCTTCCAAGTATGACAAAATGATAAACTATCTTTTTATAAGCTTTTGATTGTATGATGTTGAAATGTTTTATAGTTAAATTTACTATTTGTCTGATTTTATGTAAATATTCTGGAAAATTAAACAAATAGTAGGGACAGGATGTAAATTGTGTCCAAACACCTATGGGGACGACAAGTCGTCGCTATAGGTGCACTTGTGGGGATGACATGTCGTCTCTTTAGGTGTACCTATTGCGACGAAGGCTATGGTGACGACAAAATGAGGTAAAGCGACGAGGCTTATGGTGACGACATGTCGTCCGCATCTATAGCGACGACTTTGCACCCTAAAGTGACGCTTTTTGTTGTTCCTATAGGTCTTTATTCTTGTAGTGAAAGTAGTAATCTAGATACAAATTTCAAAATTTCTCACAGTCAAACAAATACATATTTAATCGCTTAAATACATAGCTCAATAAAAATAAAAAATCATGTGAGTAAACCGACAACAATATATGTATAACAAAAGGAGAAATATAAAAAATGTTTAAAAATCCTTTCAATCAATTAAATAAAGAAGTTAAAGTTGGCAGGTTGACGGCTCGGCATGATTTCCTAATCTGCCATTGCTTCCCTGTAAGAACTTGGGTGGCACCCAACTTAAACATGGCCTGACCAAACCAGGCATTGAAATCGGAGGAGCGCGCAATGGCTGCAACCGTGGACTTGCTGAGGCGGTCTGATGCCAAATCTTGATCAAATTGAAGAACTCCTCTACCCATAATAATTTGACTGTAGAAAGATTTGTCCACAACTGCAGAGCTAAAAGGGTTTTGATCCAAGTTGGCAGTGGGATCCGCTGTCGTGTTCTGAGGGCATTAATTACTCCTCAACGATGATAACAGCGATAAATCCATGGACGGGTCTGGTTTTCCAGTGTTCTTGTAATTGTAAAGACGGTCTTTAAACAGTGCACAATGAGCGATTCCGATAGTGTGACCACCTGCACATTACATACACGTTAAGTAAAATTTGATGTTATAACTTACTACCGATAATAAGTTGTTGAATTACCAAGGAGATAGATCATGTCGGTGGCTGTGAATCTTTTGAGAGCAAAAGCTCGAATGACACTTGATACTGATGAAGTAGGAGGTGGGACTGTTAAAGCGTTTTGTGCAAGAGACACAAGCCCATCCCCTCTTCCTGTTGTGACACTGTATCTCGCTCCACCACTCTACATTTACATTGTGTTATTGTTATTATAAGCAGGAAGAGTTCCATGGAGTCCAGGGCATTTAATATTGGTAAATGGACAAAAAGTTAACATTTCTTACAAAGGACACGACATCTCTTGTTGCCATAACGATTATATCAGCACAAGAAACAATTCCTGGGCAAACCTTCTCCACCGCGGCTTTGGCAGCATCAATGACATCATAGCCTCAAACGCTTAAATTCGGGGGTGCGATTTTTTCAGTGTTGGGTCCGTCTAGTAGGATGGAAGCATCGCAGCCCTTTTGATTCATGAAAATTAAAGTTAGAATGGTTAGTTTTTCAGAAACGTAAAACTAAACCATGCATAAATTCTTCTTCGTGTAACTCGGGTTGCAAGCAGCTGGGAGGAGTAGACTAAAAAACTAAAAACAAGCATGCATGACGACCTGGTACAGACACCGATATAATCAAGAGGGACAAACAGCTCCAAACCACTACCAATAGATAGAGTTGGAGGTCTTTAAGAATGTACAAGTCAATTATGATATGAAACTTACATCGACGAAGCAATCATAGAACTGCAATGAGCGCGGGAGCAATTTTTCTGTCAGTGAGGAACTTGGAGTAGACTGTTCTTCTTACGATATCTTCAACATTGGAAGCTCGGCATATGCCATTGTAGAACCCATACCGGAGACCACCATATCCGAGACCACTATAGCCGAGAGTACCATAGAAGTGACCAGCGAGGTTGAAGAGAAGAATATGACCCCTACTGCTAATGTGACTAATTTACTATCTGTCATCGACTTTTTTGTATTCAAGTTCTTAAACGAATTAGGGTGATGAACAATAAATGATTCTTGGATACTTATAAGGATGAGAAAGTAAGATATTACTGCTTCAATGGCTTTCACGACTTTGGTCTTCTTGTACATTAGGCAGGGGAGACGTGTGGGCATCATTGTTTGAGTCTAAATTTTTTATTTATTCATTCAAAGTAAAGACATCCTCAATGCATTGAATTCCACAGAGTTCAATGTAATATCAAATCATCTTTCTACAATCTATACAACTTTATTATTTTTTTCTCTACAACGCATTGAACTTTACAAAGTTTAATAGAATGTTACAAAATTTAATTTATAGTAAATATTTAAGATTTAAAAACTTTCTTTTTTCCCATTGAAGAGTTTAATGATCATTGAACTCCAAATCCATTAAATGCCAAGGTGGCATTTCACAATGGTAGAATTTCATACATGGACTTGCCACCTCATTCAACTTTGCCTTTAAACTCACTATTTTGGATCCTCTAATATTATTAAAAGAGTTTTATTTATTTCAAGTATGTATTTTATTTAAGATTTATTACATCGTTGTGCGTGTCCTTGTTCTTTTTCTGAGTGTTTCGTATCAAAGTAGAGTACTAGAGTGGCACATATCGGTTATCAACTAGTTCATCACGTGAGTTGACATCAGTATCTCTAACAAGTGGTGAACAGTAATGCATTGCTACTTGTTTGTACATTAATTCTTGCGAGAAAAAACACAAACAAGTGTTTGGCCTGTCGATTTATAAGCGCTTCCGCATTTCTGCCGTAAGCCACCACAAGAAAAGAAAGTGTTAGCTGCGATGTCCTTACTGTCAACGCCAACTACAGTGGTGATGATAACCAATTCTTCGCATTTCATGTCACCGCTAACGCCGTTTAACCCCGATCAGTTTGATCTCGGATCTATTACAGAATAACACTATCGGTTGATTAAACATGTAGATACAATGGTACTCGTATTATATTATTTGTGGTGATCTCAATAGCGGCGACGATTGTCACCGGTAATAGCCGAAAAAATGAGCACTCATTATTCTCTCCGAGATTAGCCAATTGTCACCGCTAAATCATTATCCCTTTTAGATGTCTATCCCTCTTTTCCAGATTAGTAACCCATCTAACCTCTCTATCCACTTCCCGACGATTTTGAGCGAAATATTGCTTTCTCCGAAGACGACGTAGACCAAACAAGTGAACAACGCTAGCACGCCACCAACAGCCACCCCCTGCCACAACCGGTTTCAACCATCATCTCCTTGAACCACCTACATTATATATCTCCAGTTATCACTTGTTTCTCTCAATCTACGACGACAATTAGTACCGAGGAACATCACCTACAACAATTGCCACCCCTCCTGCCGCATGCCATCTTCGTTTTCAACCACGATTACCGATTGTTATGCCTATCGGACCATCATCGACAGTCTAACGAGCACCACCGCTTTCATGTTCTCAATTTTACTGATAAGCTACGGACATGTCTTAACATGCTTAATTGGAGAGTGTGTAATCAAGAGATGTTTCTAATCTCCTGTTAATATGCTTTCAGAGTGCTTAATATGTTTGGAAAATGCTTAAGGAAGAGATGCTACTAATTTGTTGTATCAAGATGATTGGAATGTGCTAAATGATTTGTTAAGAACTTATGTTATATGTACTTAACTGACAAGTAGTTATTGTTAAGGATTTAATTGTTAATGACTTAATTCGACAAGTCTAAAAATGTTTTTATTGAGACTTAATTGTTAGGGTCTTGATGATGTTATTATGTGTTTATTCTATTAGATATGATGGTTATTGTATTGATTTAATTAGATTGTAATAGCTTCATTAAATAGATTAATTACTTATTGAGATATTAGAAAAATAAAAAAGTAGGATGTTATAATTTAAAGTACAATGTCATAAAAGAAAAAAAAATAGTATTAAGTAATTAACACATAAAAAAATTAACATAATACTTAAAGTACAATGTTATAATAGAAAAAGCCGTAAATAATAAATTATATTAAATGACTTTCTAGCTGACTAGCCATAGTATTCTATTACATTAAATCATTGAGTTTTAATTTACAGGTAACATCCCGAATTTCAAACCAAAATTTTCTTTAAAAAAACATAAGTTAAACATCCAAAACCACTTTTCAAAAAATATCCAAGTAACAAATTGTTTTAACATCACCCAAACCATATCATACAACGTATCAAAATTACCATAAAAATAACATAAGTCTACATCATTAAATCATCATCGATATTGCGGTACAGTCACAATGGGCCATTCCATTTGTCAACCGAACTACCTGAAAAACATTTAACCAAAAACAGTAAGTACATACATCAATACACGTACAATGAATATAAGGAATTACTCACGACATCGTGTCATTCCACCCGACTCGCGACCTAACACCGTTCCATTATCAATAGTTGACTCGCAGTCTGACACCCTTCCGCCATGAACAACTGACTCGCATCCCATCGTCATTCCATCATCAATAATTTACTCACACCGTAGAGCCTTTCCATCATCAACAATTAAATCATAACCTAGCATCGTTCCGTCATCAAGAGTAGGTATATAGGTTCACAGCCTAACGTTGTTCCACCATCAGCCCCTCAACCATGACACATGCAAGTATCATAAAATCAAGCAATCAACATACACATAAAAAAATATAGTCGACTTGTTGACTAACAATACATGTATCCTATCATGTAAAGGACATATATTGTTACATATAGTATAGTAAAAATACTCACCTAGATCTAAAGAGTTGAAATCACACACTCACACGAGTCCTAGAGAATTAGCTACACGAACGACCTAAATCAAACAGAGGCCAAACATCAGTCTGTTGCTAAAATCCATCAAGTTTGACCAAAAGTCAAATTGACCAAAAAGTTAACGTTAAATTAATATAGTCAACAGTCAACAATCAATGCGTCGCGAACCAGCTCTTGTTCACGTCATGGACACAAGAGGACAAAATAACTGCAAATTCTATTCAAACCTCGTGTCATGCTTTTCTGGCAGATGCACTTATTCCATTAAATGCTTAATCCTTCCAGATAACAATTGTAACCTTCATATATGAGTAAAATTAGGATCTTAAGGGACAATGTTTCCAACTTTATCCAGATCTATGACTCAACCAAACTAATCTCAAACCCCAACTCATAAATATCTTAAAAGACCAATATCTTGTGCATGTATAAAAGAAATCCCATGAACTCAATCTATTATATTCTTTAATTACTAGAAATGAACTCATAATCCACCCTAAGGTTCTTGAGTTGATCAAACTCCAAGAAAATCAAGTCTAAAGGACCAAAATTAACCAAAAACCCAACTAAAGCTTAGATCTATGTATGAATCAGAATAAAGAATAGAACTTTATAACTTACAATTCCTATGATGGGTCTAGAAGGTGGAAACTTCAGGTGGAAGAGATCACACCATGCACCAAGGAGACTAGGGTTACGAGTTTGAGAATAGAGGCTGAGGATGACAAAAAACCACAAATGTAAGTGCCTTTATATAGGTCCCAAGGCCCAATATTTAGGGTTTTGAGCACAAAGCAGCGTCACATCGTGACCAAGCTCTTGGTCGCATCGCTACTTATTGACATGGCTCGCGTCGCGCCTACCAAGACTCGTTTCGTGAACTATCAAAAATTGTTTTCCCCGATATGAAATAAATAAACTTGATAAATAACTCATACATAGGAAGTGGGTGTTACATTACATGTCTTCATTTTAATCATTATGATTTTGATGTTGTAGGCGAGAGTGAAAGTGAAGTTCCTCAGCCAAGGACTAAAGTCGATGATGTTTCTTATTGCGAGACTAATTATTATGAGAAAGATCTTGATTATGATACTGAAAGAGACATTAAGTATATCAAATAGAGTCTAAATAAAAAAATTCCTATGTAATGAAACCCTATATGTATATGATTGAGACACTAATTGTAATGTGTATTTATAATTGAAAATTTTATTTTGATTCCTAATATATTAGAAAATTTTATTCATATTGTATTCATGTATTGTATATTGTATAAATTTTCAGGCTTTAATGTTTATTTAGATTGTGCTGTTTTATATGATGGCTAGTGTGGTGATGTGCCGAGGGCTATTGTGATAATGGATGTGAGGATTGAGGATCCACCACCTCCATTAGGTGGAGGTCGTGGCCATGACGAGGAGGATGATAAGTCTTATTATGATTTATTTATTTACTATACATATTCACATACACATACACATAGACACACAAACACACACACACACACACACA